ATTTTTATCATTTCCTCCCTTGTTATGATTCGTGGTAAATTTTGAGCTTGTGGGGTATCCATTTATATAAAATTTTGTTATCAGTTATTTTATCATTAATGATTTTAGGTTATTCAATAATTATTTATTTTTGAAGAACTGATGAGGTCACCAGGTCACCAGGTCACCAGGTAATTTAACTTTTCTGAAAAATGAGACAACATGACATTTTGACAACATCACAGGAGGAAGGCACTTATTATTTATTTTTGAAGAACTGATGAGGTCACCAGGTCACCAGGTAATTTAACTTTTCTGAAAAAATGAGACAACATGACATTTTGACAACATCACAGGAGGAAGGCACTTATTATTTATTTTTGAAGAACTGATGAGGTCACCAGGTCACCAGGTCACCAGGTAATTTAACTTTTCTGAAAAAATGAGACAACATGACATTTTGACAACATCACAGGAGGAAGGCACTTATTATTTATTTTTGAAGAACTGATGAGGTCACCAGGTCACCAGGTCACCAGGTCACCAGGTAATTTAACTTTTCTGAAAAAATGAGACAACATGACATTTTGACAACAGGTATGAAAGGATTAATGTAAAATAAATTCAAATCACACTTTATAAAGCTTCATTTACAGGTATTTCATCGTCAGTAATGAATCCTCATTATCGTTTGGTTCAACCTGTTTATATAATCCTTTCATTTCTTCTTTCAAAACATAATACCATGTCTGTTTACCATCTATTTTTCTTTGTTTCCTATCACATTTATCCTTAATACTCATTTGAAAATTCTTGTCTTTCATGTCTGATAGTTTGCAGAATAGAGCATTTTTACACGTCATACCTACACACAATTCATCATAATGTGTATTTATCCATACATCTAAAGGATTTGATGATAATTCAATTAAATCTTGTTTGGCTTCAGTCATCGGTATGATTCGTACATTAAATGATGAAAGGTCATATTGCATAAAATATGTTAAAAGGTTATCATAAAATTCCTTTGTGCATGAATTCATCAAATTCTTGAAGTAATCAAATTGACCCTTAAATTTACCATTAACTCTTAAAACTACATATCTTCTGTCTCCAACTTCAATTTTGACAGGGTAAACGTTATTAGTTACGAAAATGAAGTTTGCAACGTTCTGTGCTGTTCTTCTGGGTTGATTCTTTTCATTAATTCTTATCTCATTATCCGTTATAATTGATTTCAAAGCGTTGAAGTTTGCGAGTCTGTCTTCACCTACATTCTTGAGTTCATTAAGTACAAGAAACATTTTATTCTCAACTACTGAGTTGAAATTACCCGTTAACTCACCTATTTCAGTAATGGTTTTACATGAATAACCGGCGAGAAGTTCAGAAATAATGTCTGTAAATCTGTTTTTACCTGTTCCCTGAAGTCCTTTCAAAATAATTGCTGTTTCATTCTTGATTCCAGGATGTTGAATCATTGATGCAATCCAGCCGAGAAGGTATTTATACACTTCATCGTTATTATCACAAATGGCTTCTTTAATGAAATTCATAAACATTTCAATTTTTGAGTAATCTGGTTTTTCGAGAATGTTGTATTTATAACCTTGAAACGTTGAGAAAACATCTGGAGAATTAGATTTAAAGCAAACACCCTTAACGGTTAATGAAGACAATTGATTTAGTAGTACATCCCATGCTGTTATGGTTTTACCTTCTTCTTTAAATAATTTAATCATTTTAAGTGACTCTTTCATGTTTGATTGAAGAACGAATGATATTTGATTCATTTTATCGTGGATATTGTAGTCCTTTTGAATGAAATATTTGTTTCCACAATCTACAAAACGGATTACATGTGATAAATCCTCAATTACTTCAGAACTGTTTTTATACTGATGATTTTCAGCCTTATGTCTAATATCTGTTATCAAAAACGAGTCATCAAGTTTGATATCAAATGTTATTTTTGGCTTATGTAATAAAGGCAAAACATATTCATCATAATATTCCTTTTGATATAGTTTTAGAATCTTCACCAAAACAAATGGAGAAGTCATTAAATATGCATATCTATTACGTGCTTTTTCAAAATTACTTTTTGCATTTTCTGTTAAAATGCAGAAGTTATAAACGTTGTCGTATGCTTCATTAATTAAATGATTAGGTAACGAATTAATAGCTTGAAACAGTGTGAATAATGTGATTTCTTTTTCTAAATTCATGTTTCCACCGTCATTATGTACTTTAAAATCACACATGCCATCAACTATGCTCTGGGCAAGTTTATCGTCAATGTTTACATCTTTGTTCTCATTCATGATAGTCTTTATTTCTTCATTCTTTTGTTCAACTCTTACCTTAATATTCAAATCATTTAATATATCATTCACTGTTCTAGTTAATGTTGAATCATAACTTCCACGAATGAATGAGTATGTTTTGATTGGTTCTGTTGCATTCTTGCGAACTCTTGAATCAGCCATAACTACTAAAGAACGCTTTGAATCATCCATAGAAGTCATGATATCGATATCATAATCATTGCAGGAATAACATTTAATCATTCTGTTCGAAACTGCATAGAAGAAATTAGTGTTGCAATAAATGTGAAGACCTCCCGAAGCGGTTTTAACGATAACATCTTTATCCGAAAGTTTTGATAGAATGTCTTTTCTAACCGTTTCTTTAAGTTCATCATTGTATGATTTATTAATATCAACATCTATAATCGTTAAATTTGATATTTTATTTACTAATAAAGCCATACCGGTTTTCCTTCCTCTTCCTCCATCATGTTTGAGGTAGTTATGTAAATCAATCATGTTTTCACCAATTCTTTCGTTGAGGGTTTTAGTTTCTGCCACAACTAATTCCTCAACTAATGAATCAATAACTTTTTCATCAGAAACGATATAGTCACTGTTGTTGTTTGTTGCCGCAACTAATTCCTCAGCTAATTCCTCAACTAATGGATCAATAACTTTTTCATCAGAAACGATATAGTCACTGTTGTTGTTTGTTGCCGTCATTTATATAGGAATAAAAAAATAAAAATAATTTTAAAACTAACTTTATTTTTGGACTGCATCATATTTCCATGACTGTTGTCAAAATGTCATGTTGTCTCATTTTTTCAGAAAAGTTAAATTACCTGGTGACCTGGTGACCCGGTGACCTCATCAGTTCTTCAAAAATAAATAATTATTGAATAACCTAAAATCATTAACGAAACCATTAACGATAAAAATATATTTCCATGACTGTTGTCAAAATGTCATGTTGTCTCATTTTTTCAGAAAAGTTAAATTACCTGGTGACCTGGTGACCTGGTGACCTCATCAGTTCTTCAAAAATAAATAATTATTGAATAACCTAAAATCATTAACGAAACCATTAACGATAAAAATATATTTCCATGACTGTTGTCAAAATGTCATGTTGTCTCATTTTTTCAGAAAAGTTAAATTACCTGGTGACCTGGTGACCTGGTGACCTCATCAGTTCTTCAAAAATAAATAATAAGTGCCTTCCTCCTGTGATGTTGTCAAAATGTCATGTTGTCTCATTTTTTCAGAAAAGTTAAATTACCTGGTGACCTGGTGACCTGGTGACCTCATCAGTTCTTCAAAAATAAATAATAAGTGCCTTCCTCCTGTGATGTTGTCAAAATGTCATGTTGTCTCATTTTTTCAGAAAAGTTAAATTACCTGGTGACCTGGTGACCTCATCAGTTCTTCAAAAATAAATAATAAGTGCCTTCCTCCTGTGATGTTGTCAAAATGTCATGTTGTCTCATTTTTTCAGAAAAGTTAAATTACCTGGTGACCTGGTGACCTGGTGACCTCATCAGTTCTTCAAAAATAAATAATTATTGAATAACCTAAAATCATTAATGATAAAATAACTGATAACAAAATTTTATATAAATGGATACCCCACAAGCTCAAAATTTACCACGAATCATAACAAGGGAGGAAATGATAAAAATGATGCAAGAACTAATTAAAAACAACAAACCACGAAAACTGAGAAGATGAGGAATATAAATTAAATTTGGATTGAGTTTAAAAATTCATCTTTATTAAATTCATCTCTTCCAACCAATTTATTTATTCTATTAAATTCTTTTATTTTTGCTTCACTCAGTTTAAGGATTGAACGATAAGTTTCTAATTTTTCGATTATTTCTTTCCTCTCTTGATCGTTTTCAACCCCACCACATTGCGGCTTCTTTTTGTAATAGCATATTTTTGATTTAATTTTGTTTAGTTTCTTTTTATATTCATCATCAGGACTCTTGGATGCTTCGTTGTCACTCATTTCTTACGAAAATAAAAAAATTAAATATTATTTAAATATAATGGAGTAATAAAATAAATCGGAATTTCTATTAATTTATTGTTAACCTCAACTAATACATTACCGTTAATATATCTAACAAATTCAGCTATTGTGTCAAATCTTCGTCTTCTTTTTGTCATTGATTTATCAGTTTTTCCATAATCAAGATGAATCAAAACTTTATCCCCTTGTTTAAAATTCATGAGCCCCGAATTAATTTGTTCACGTTTAACATCATTTAACCTTTCCATTTGCTTTCTAATATATTCCCATTCTTTTGAAATATCATTTTTCATTTCCACTGGTTTCATGTTTATAGTTCTATGCCATGTATTATTGTAATAATATACTAACTGCTGTATGATGGAGTCATGATTTCCATCCCAGTATATCTGACCGTTAACCCCTAACGCATCTCTAAGAGTTCTCATTACTGCATCAACTATTTTATTATGAAACGTATATGGAGAGGATGAAAAGTAAAAATTAATTTGTGGAAAATAATGAGCCATAGCTGCCTGAAATCCTTTATCACCATCACCCCTGATATTATCTACTCTTTCATGATCTAGTAAGTATTGAATAGCTCTTCTTGTTTCCTGTTCTGTTTTCCCTTTTACCGGAATGCAATATAAATATCTGGTGTTAATGTTAATGGCGAATAAATAAGTAACGTTTCCTTTTGAATATTCTAAATGATCGATTTCGTATGAATATGGATGTGGTGCAAATGAGGGACGACTAAATTTTTCCTTTAACGGTTGAATTTTTGGGTCAGTTGGTTTATTTAATATTTTGAAATCCTTTTTAAAATCTTTTTGCTTCTTTAATGTTTGAAATGGATATAATAAAGTGAATGATGAAGGATTAACTGAAGGAGAAGGAGGAACTACTGTTGGAGGTTTTGGTGTTGTAAGTGATTTAATTTTATCTGCTTTGATTTTGGATGATGAAGTTTTGGATTTCATTCCTCCTTTCATTAATTCTGGATGTATTCTATTCATTTGTTTTAAATATACTGTATATAAAGGTTTGATATACTTTCCCGCTTCGAGTTTATGTTGAAGGATGAATTCCAAAAGTTGATCTTCATTTAAAAGTCGGGCTGAATATGATTTAACTAATGAATCATAAATTAAAGCTTGTGCTTCATTTATGGTCTGAAGGACCTGGGCGTTTTGCACCTTTAGCTGTTGAACATTTGGCTTTTGCGGCTCAGGATTATATAATTTATATAATTCATCAATATCTTCTTCTGTTAATACTTTATTTTTGAAATCTTTCAATTGTTTAAGTTGTGATTTAGTTTTTCCCTTTGCATATTCATTATTTTTAATTTTGTCTTTAATTTTAGAAATTATTTTATCATGATATTTCAAAATTTCATTTTTATAATATGGATAATAATAATCCATATCATCACCCCCGATATTGTTATCATGTTTTTGGAGATATGATTTTAAGTCATAATAAGTAAGAAAATTTTGATTAAGTACTAAATCATAAATTAAATTTTTTAAATCTGTGTTATCCATTTATATAAAAATAAAATAAGTGTTTTAAGGGTGCCCACCTCTTTGATCAAGAATCAAAACCATCATTAACGGTTCTTTTTGTCTCTTCTGTGGCATTTTATTAAAAATAAAATTTTAAATTGTATTAAATAAATGGCATACAACATCCATTTTCACAACATACAGCCTTAGTGTGTGCTCCTGTTAATGCAGTCTTACCGATTGTTAAGCGAGTCATCGACCTGTTTTTAAGTTGTAAATTAATATTCTGACCATCAAATATCACTTTATCATTTATTATATCCAAATAATTTTTAGGTGTTAATTGTTTATTTTGTCGTAAACTAACACCTTTCATTTTTTGTGCAATCTTTTTAAAATCACTTCCATCAATTGAACCGTTGAATGATGTATAACACTTAGGGCATAAAGCAACCATGTTATCACCTTGTTTCTCAATTGCTAAACCCAATAACTTCTTCTCATGTGCTTTTTCTTCAGCTTTATTCTTTAATTTAGGTTTAAATTTCTCATCAAAACAGAAGAAATCAAATGGTGCGAATTTGAAAATGTTTTTATCATAAAATTGTTTATCGGTAACAATTGCTTGAAATGCTTGAGTGTTAGGAAGATTTGGATCGCCAGCGATTGCCCAATAAGATGAATCAGTATCACCTTCAATGAAATGAAAACGATTAAGATTTATGCATTTATACATAAAATCATAAATGAAAACCAAATACCAGTATTTAGCATTATCTAAAGTAAAGAATGCCTCTTGTAAACATGTTTCACATCTATAAAATCTATCTTTGAGCATCATTTGATACGTATCCTCTCCTATTTCTCTTATGTTTTTAAACTTATTTGACATACATGCAACGCGTGCCTTCTGTGCATTCATTATTTTAGTCTTTGCGTAATTTTGTGTATTCATTGCATCGTAACCATATGATCCATTAAGCGAAATCTTGCAAAATAAACTTTTTCCTTTATTTCCTTCTAATTCAGCCTTTTGTCTTTCGTTCATAAATTTGTTCGCAAATTCATTAAAGCAAGTGTTTTTAGTAAATGTTAAAATTGATTGAATGTCATCGATGATAAAATGAAATCTGTCGATTAGATACCAAAGATAATAAGAAGAAAATGGTTGATATTGGTTGTGTGTTGATGCTAACTGAGTTAATTTCCTCTGTTTCTGGTCAACTGGTAGATTGTTTGATTTCATGTAATTATACATAAAACTGCCAATTGTTTTTTCATCTGTGATAATATCTAAGTTTCTTATTATCGGTAAAAAGTTTATGTAATCATTAATGTATTTTTCATCAATGTGACTCTTTACTTCAGTCACGAATAAAGTATTTTTCTTCTTAATTATTCCCAGTGCTTTTGCTTTCTTTGTTGCTGTATCACAAATGATAACACTATTCAATCTTCCCGGCATATACATTTTATGGTCAGTATATTGAATGAAATCATGAGGATTAGATGAAAATGATGAAGGATATAATGAATTAAAATCAACACCAACGAAATGAGTCATGATGTTGGTGGTGTCCTCATTTGATACAGTTTTAGTTTCTGGACTATATGAAAGTTTATTAATGTGCGTGATTCCTTTAAGATTAACACGATGTTGAACATTTGATAGACCACCAGTAATTCCATTACGGAGAATGTGATAAGCTTCAACTGAATCTAAAGTCATTGGTAAATTATATTTTAATGCATAATTTCTTAAATTGATTCTTAAACGTTGAACATCTTCATCTTTATTTGATTTTATGACATTGCAATAACAACACATTAACTGACAATTTTCTTTGGTATGTGGTTTTTCATTATCGATTCTATCTAATGTTGGTTTATTTGCATATGTAAACGCTTTACCACACATTTTGCATTTAGATGAAAGGATTAAATCGTGATAGTATTGAAAATCATCCATTGAAACATTATTTTTAGTATCCCTTTCTGCTTTTTCATCTTGTTTCTTATATGATTCAATTTTATATTTCCAATACTTTTTCGTTAATTCAAAACTTGATTCCACATTTTCTTCTTCTGGATATGTTTCGTTAGGATTAAAGTCTTTATATGCTAAAGCGTAACGAATCATTGAAGCATTCGATGATAAAGAAAGATTATGAAGCATATCAATTTTATAAACAAATGTTTCTTCAATAATTTTATCGATTGGGTCAATCATAATTTCAACATCTTTATTGCAATAATGAATAAAATATTCTAATCTATTCTTAAAATTTTTAGCATCATTGAGATATATTTGATAATCACTATCTGATATAGTTTCTTGAGTTAATGCTGAATAAAATGAATCTTTCGTGAATGGTTCCACTTTATATAATTCTTCTTCGTAATTCTCCCATGTGATGAATTGATAAGGGAAAAAGGATTTAACACGTGATTTATTGTTTCCGAAATCTTGAGTGAATTGGTCTAATGTCCCACCCGCTATATAATTTCTGATGTCAATAAATCTTAATTCATATGGAACGTTTGTTTTCTTTACAATGATTTGCTTAAATTGTGAAGATGAACCCAGCATTGATTTTATTTTCCATTTTGCAGTGTTTAAATCACGAAGAATTAAATTTAAATCAAACTTTCCCGAATTAAAACCTATGATATTCACTTTATTGAATTCCTCATCTAGAAGTTCTTTAAATGCTTCCTTCTGTTTTTCATTTAATGTATGGGACAAAGTCCCCGCCGTTTGCGGCTTCAATAATTCTTCATATTGTTCAATATTTGATTTAGCAACTAATGAACAGGTTGAAAATAAAAACTCAATCCAATCAGAAATAAAAGAATCACTCGAAGTTAAGCAAAAATTCTTCGTATATGTTTTATCATTTAATTTAACTGTTGATGATACCATGAATGGTTTTAAGTAAGCATTCAAAGTTGCACACTCAGAAAGTTGTAATTCTTCTTTAGTCTCTAATGTTTCAAAGTCAAAAGTAATATAATATCTTGTCGGTTGATAATATTCCTGCAAATTATGAGCTAATAACCACTGATATATCTTTTGTTTCGTAATATGTGGTGCATATGGTTGCTGTGTCTTTTGCAATTGAACGTCTTGAATTAATCTCCCATTATTTTCTTTACATTTCTCACAATGCTTTAAAAATCTTCTTTGGTTTTTCCTTTCTGGATCATCACGGATAGAATAAACTTCTTCTTTACAATATGGACAAACTTTATAGCCGGTGAGTGCTTCTACGTCTGTTATTCTGTCAGCGTGAAGTTTTCCACATGAACTCTGTGTTAATAAAATATTTACTGTTTCAAATTCTGGATCTATCATTATTGAATCCACTAATGGAAAGTCTACCTTATTTATGTCCACGTCTTCTGGTTGAGGATCACAATAATAGAAATCAATATTAACATTTAACATTCTCGCTAATCTCTCACTTTCTGATGAAATGTCAAACCCGTCATATGCATCTATTGCTTCATTTAAATAGCTTCTACGAGTTTTAGGATTAACACCATCAGGAATGTTATAGAAGCGTTTAAATAACCTTCTACCTTCTGCTCTAATTTGATTATCATTCATTTTAGCTGTTCCGTTTTTGTTCATTTATGTAAGAAAAAAAATTAAATAAATAAATAAAAATAAAGTTTATTTATTAAAGTCCATAAAATGAATTAAGAACACATAAATTTTTATCATCTGCGACGTGACGAATACATTTTAATTTACTTAAGAATGCGTACCCTGATACATTAAATCTAATTCCTGTCTTATTTAATTTCACAACTTTGAAAAGAAATGTATGAATAGCTATAAAATGATGAGAAGATGTTTTATGGGTTGCTTCCATTTTTTCTGAAATAAATGAATAAATATAATGTTTATAAGTTTTCATATCTTTTATGTTCTTAATAACGAATGGTATAGACCTTTCAACTTCATCTTCCTTCGGTGCTGTTCTTTCATATGAAACATTATTAGTATCTTCAATAATGAAACCGCAATCACACAAAATTTTATAGGTTCCAATGGTTTCTTTTGATATTTTATCTAATAAATCAAAAACTTTATCAACACCTGTGCATTTATTTAAATAATAATTTGTGTAAATATCATGATCTTCTTTCTTAATCGTATTAGTTGCATATGTCACGTTTTTAAGAGCTTTTTTGAATTTTTCGGAATCTAAAGGTGGTGAAAGTAATATACAAGGGTATTCTTCATTATCAATAAATTGTAACTTATGTTTACGAATAAATTTAGTTCCTTCTTCTGAAAGTGTTTCATCTATTTCACCATCTAATAAATTTTGTGTTGATTCTGAGACATAATTTTTATATCTTTCTTCATGAGATTTCTGAACTTCTGATTCTGAAGCTGGGATATTCATTAAACCCTCTACTTCATTTTCATTATATTTTTCAACTTCTCTTAATTCCTTAATTTTTTCATCTATTTCATCTCTTATTTTTTCCAGTCTTTCAATTTCATCATATTCATCATCTTTAATCCGTTCTTCATAATATTCAGGGAAAACATCAGGTTCTTTAGGTTTTTCTTTTTTAGAAGTGGGATATAAGAAATTTATAACATCATCTTTATTCATTTTTCCATCATAATCAAACTCATTTAAAAACTCCGCAAATTTTTGACAATTTCTTAAATAAAATTTATCAACCTCATAACCCGCCTCCTCTAATATATCCTTTATTTCCTCATTTGTGAATCCCAATTTTTTCACGTTGTTAGTTTTGACGCTCATTTCATACAAAATAAAAAATAAAATGTTCAAAATTGTAAGACATGAATCAAATAATTGATTTCATAAATTCAAATAATCATTAGTTTCTTAAAGTTCAATGTTGAACTCATCAAATTCTTCTTCATCAACATCATTATCTTTAGCGAGTTTAATTACTCTTTCAACTCTATCTTTTGATAGTCTTGCGTTTAATTTTTTCTGAAGTTTTTCGTTACCAAGTTCTAAAATTTTACATGGATGATATTTAAACCTGTTAAATTCTTTTTCCTCAGTTTTAATCATTAATCTACAAAGAACTTTAGTGAGGTGATTTTGTTGTTTAAACCATTTATTTATCATTAATATTTGTTATAAATTCAATATCCGGAATTAATTCCCAAATTTTTGAATTTTCGATTAATTTACCATCAAATGCAAAAGCAATGGGTTTAATATTAAACTTACCTTTATAAAATGAACTTTCTATGTAATCATCAAAATAAACGTCTACTTGTTTAACCTGGGTGAGAATTGGTGAAAGTTTATCCATTAATTGATTCACAGTCACGAATCTTGTTCCGTTCATTTCTTACGAATTAAAAATAAAATAATAAACATAACTAAGTTTTAATTTTTCGTAAGAAGTTTATTTTAAAATTAATGTTAATTTTTTAAAGTTTATTTTTTAATGTGTTTATTACATCATTTATGGGCTGAGTGTAAATGTCTTACAATTTTGAACATTTTTTAAATCTTGATTTATTCAAAAACGTAAGAATAAAAACCGTAAGAATCATACATTTTTTACTTCATATGTCAAAAAAATGTTACAAAATCGTTGAGAAAGGGACAGACTAGCCCATTGTCACTTTTTAATTTAGCAAATGAACGCTTATGGAGTGGAGTTTTTGGGTAAATCTGATTTGCTTATAAATGAAATAAAATCAAAAGAAACCATATTGGCATTATATTATGCAAAAATAAATGATCTTACTTAGTACTTTTAAAGTTAATTTCAGAAAAAATTTGACACAATGGTATCCGGCACATACAAGTGGTGTACAACCAAAATATAAGTTGGTTTAAACATATATTGCTATATCTCATGATCTTACTTAGTACTTTTAAAGTTAATTTCAGAAAAAATTTGACACAATGGTATCCGGCACATACAAGTGGTGTACAACCAAAATATAAGTTGGTTTAAACATATATTGCTATATCTCATGATCTTACTTAGTACTTTTAAAGTTAATTTCAGAAAAAATTTGACACAATGGTATCCGGCACATACAAGTGGTGTACAACCAAAATATAAGTTGGTTTAAACATATATTGCTATATCTCATGATCTTACTTAGTACTTTTAAAGTTAATTTCAGAAAAAATTTGACACAATGGTATCCGGCACATACAAGTGGTGTACAACCAAATCTTCGACTCGATGAACTTGTCATCGAGTTATATTCCAGTGTTGTTCCTTCATTCCTGATTAAGTTGCAAATTAAAGGTCTGGATTCAGAGAGAAGTGTTAAAGTTATCAAAAAAGTCACAAGAGATTTCGAAGAAATGACACAATTTAAAAAAGTCGAATGCATCAGTATGCTTGAAGCTGTTCAGAAAGGTCTGAAAAATGATACACTTGATCCCAACATTGTTTACTCAACATTAAAAATATTATTGCAAAGAAAACAATTGATTTAATAAACATTTAATTTATTATAATTAATTTTTTATTACAGTATAGTAAAAAATGCTATAAATAAATTATTATATTTTATTAAAATGTGACTTTTAATAGTAAGTGAATAAAATAAATCAGGAATTGGGAAAGAAATAAGGTTAATTAAAAATAATGAAAATTACAAGTTTAAGGTTAATGAAAAAGTGACAATGGGCGAGTTTGTCCCCCACTCCAAAATCGTTCAATATTGTATGAATTCTTACGTTTACAAAAAAAGTCACACAACCCGCACTCATATACTACTTTTATATTATTGCAAAATAAAATCTTCATTATTAAGATAAGTACCTTAATATGTACGTAAATTTTAATGAAATTTATACAACATTATAAAAATTTATGAATAAAAACTTGATATAAAATAACATTTTTATTTTTACTAAGAAAAAAAAGGTTTTTGATAATAAATTTATTTTATTTCGAAAAAGTAGCAATAATCGTAAAAGGGTATTGATAGGCTTGCTAAAGTAACTAATTTTAGCTGTCAAATACTTTTGTATTTTGAAGTAAATTAGTATAAATTTGTTTTTACTTTTATTTCGAAAAAGTAGCAATAATCGTAAAAGGGTATTGATAGGCTTGCTAAAGTAACTAATTTTAGCTGTCAAATACTTTTGTATTTTGAAGTAAATTAGTATAAATTTGTTTTTACTTTTATTCGAAAAAGTAGCAATAATCGTAAAAGGGTATTGATAGGCTTGCTAAAGTAACTAATTTTAGCTGTCAAATACTTTTTGTATTTTGAAGTAAATTAGTATAAATTTGATATTATTTTAACTCCCTTTGAAAACCTCAATTTTCCATACAGAGGGAACGGGAATAGCATCCAATATTCCCTGAGAATGGTTGCGCATTCTCAGTTCCCTCTATATTTCGAACGAAGCTCTCATCGGTCTTTTTTTTTAATACTAAACGTTTTTTTCCCTGTCACTTTTAGCTAAAATTTGGGTTTGCCGCTAGATTTTTTAGTTGCAATTCGTATTTCATCCCTACCCGGATCCAAATTGATGAATATCACAGAAAATTTCCTATACGATAATATTTGTATTTCGATATCATTGATATTGACAATTTTATTGCATCATCAATAACTTTCTGATGAAGAAGATAAAATCACCACGACCACATTTTAAGAATACCTAAATACTTTTTAAAGATAAACAAAAAGTTAACTGCATTTCCAAAATTTTTTGTAAATAAGTTTAAATGGCTAGCAAAAATATAATTGAAATCTTTCAGACATTTCATAAAATTTTAAGAAACTACATAAATGTCCCAAGATAAAATATTTCAAAATATTTTGACGAAAAACGATATAAAATTAAGTATTTCTATATACTAGTCTTTAAGAAATGTATTTCTCAATTGCTTAGGTATTATTTCTACTCATGTGTATAATCCTATATTATTGAGTTGCATTTTTGCGTAATTGCATCGTTAGCACGTTAATATCATGATATATGGTTTAAAACAAATACTCTTGTAGGATATTTTACAATGTATTTATTCTACAAGTGATAATATAAATACTCGTATGCTAAATAAGTAACGATATGAAAAATTAGCATTGCATGATTTATGGGGAGAAATAGGAAAATTCGATACTAATTTCACAGAATGATTGCAAAAAGTTGATTTGGCATAGTTGGGAAGCACAAAAATAGTGAGATTATGTTCATAACTACTAAGATCTGACATGCAATCAATTCCAATTCCTCCAAAATATATTTTTTCGAGTTTGGGTGTGTATTTTAAAAGCGATTGTGTAATATTGCTTAAAAACTGAGGAAAATGCAGTTCTTTGATTGAAGAGTTGACTCCGAAACCATTATCAATTCTTGTTAATAGTGATTCGGTATCAAACTCTAACTTTTTAAGATTTGAACACCAATCTAAACTCCTGTATTGAATTTCTTCAACAAATTTTCCAATTTTAATTGTAATTATTCCTGAATTTCGAAAAGCACAAACTCCAATCCTTTTAACTAAGTAATATTTGCTATTATAGTATAGTGAAGATGGGACTTCAGCATGTATAAAAGTATTTTGCTTGTTTATGAAAGCATTGCAATCTTGCGAGAAATCTTCAACATGAGTATTGTTAATTGTACCAATGACTGCTTCATTACTCGAAATTAAATAATTAAATAGTCCAATACGTACTTTAGTCAAATTTGACTATTTACCTTCAATAGAAATGAGATTTTTAAAAAATATTATGTCTTGTTCAATCAAGTCTACCACCAAATTTTCAAGTGCATAGCGCAGAAGTAAACTTATATTCTTGAAAAACCATTTGTCTTATATATTGACATTTTCAGATTCGTTGAATCAGAGTGAATAGAATTGGAATATTTCTCAACTGTTTGACTTGAATAAAACAAATATAATTTATCTTTTGCTCCGAAGCCTAATAAAGTCATAAATGAATCCAACCATTAAATCAAATAGGGAATCATTAACCAAAATTTAAAACACGCCTAACGAAAACGTATATCATATTCAATGCCAAAATTCTGGAAACGATGGTTTGCAGATCCTTGAAAGGTTATAAAAAAGTGGAACGTTGAACGAACATATTTGGTCGCTCATTTTTTCTGTTATATAAATATGTTCTGTTTTAGTAATTCTAATAAAAAATTTTGTGAAAACCCTCCAATTTTGAAATTGGTGGATTTGACAATCCTTTTAATTTAAATTCTATAAATCTTATTAGCCGTAATGTAAATTGCCTATCTTCTTTATCTCAGATTTGACGATCGCTTTCAATTATTCAAATTTTCTTTTGAATTTTAGCTTCAAATATGTCGCATCGCATTGATTTAGTTTTACCCAGTGGACAAACATTTTTTATACCGCTCGATCAAGATCTCAAAGGATCGGACGTACTAGACTTTATCCGCAATTTCAACCCTGAAAACTACGTAATTTGTCGCAATTCTTTGACACAAAATCTTTATGATGTGTTATACTCGACTAATTTGGAAAAAATCCCACAATCAGATTGTATCAAAGATAATTTTGAAGAGACCTTGCTCGTTAAAATCTTTCAATCTGATAGAAATGTCACATCTAAACAGCAAAGAATGCCATTATTTGTTTTTAATGCTGAAGAGTTCGTTGAACACAATTCTATTTTAGCGGAGAACATACCATTGCCCAATTTTACTCGAAAGCATCCTAAAATTACTCTTGTTGTTCAATTACCGACAAATTTAGTGATTGAATGTGAAGCCAAATTATCGAAAACGATCAGTTCAATCCAAAAATCTATATATGAGCAAATGGTTTCGCTTTACGGAGAGACAAATGTTCGTTCAATTAAGCAATACAGATTTGGTACTATGAAAGGCGAATACCCGTCGAAGAAATTGAAATTATCCGAGTCACCGGAGATAATGAACGCTCTGAAACTTCAGCAACAGGATTATTCGAATCCGCAATTCATTATTATTCAAGTAAATACAGAAACAGAGTTTGTAAAGACCGCTAAGACATATACGAATGACCTAGAACTCAAACCGATTATCGCTACCCCTGAAGTTTTGTCATTTAATTCGACTTACTCGGAATTGAGGCAAAATGCCGAGACAGCTAGGACAGAAAGGCTTGAAGCAGATCCGTTACTCGCAAGAATGCGTCTAAATTCGAACGAACCTCCTTTAATAACTTGCAGAAAGAAAAATATCCCAATCAAAGTCGACATGCGCGCAGTAGCATTATCAGATGAAAACACAGCGACATCTCTCGCGATTCAATTCGATACTACAGCACAACAAGCCATTCGAACTTTATTTACAAAAATGGTCGAGCACCAAGGTGTTTCTACCGACCTAAATCCCGATAATTACGCACTTATTTTACAAGGCACAGACGAAGTCGTTGCCGGTGACTTTGCGATCCAAAATTTCGTATGTGTCAGGCAATTTCTTCTTTCTGTGACTCCGTTCATGAATTTCCTTCTTGTCGACAAGAACAAACTCATTTCCCAGATCAGAGAGAAAGAATTAAGCTACACAGCCCTTCCTGAAGTAACTGATGAACAGAAATACAAACCGATCATTTACAACGACACTTCCAAGCCCGGTATTGACATCATGGGTGGATTTCCACATTTCTACGCCAAAGAGAACTTCTCAATTATCATTGGCGGATGTTTCAATATTCCAAGCGATCTCGAAGCGAACAACTACATTGTCAGAGTTGTTATTTTGCATGGCAGTAATGAGATCTCCGCTCCAATGATGACTAGACCTTCTTTAGGCTGTTCTTCCGTTGCATGGAATGAAGCATTAAACATTTCCATCCAAATCATGCAACTACCACGTGCAGCACGTGTAGCCATCACTCTCTTCAACTACGACAAGATCGGTACAAACAAAGCTCCAATAGCTACATGCAATGTCCCTGTTTTCAATTTCGACGGATGGTTCAATTCCGGAGTTAAATTCTGGTCGATGTGGAATGGAAAAGACACTGATCCTTTGTTGACAACATGTCAATGCGAAGAAGAATCTGCTGTCAGAGTTCTTTTCACCATTCCTCAATACAGATATCCAATTGCACATGTACAACAAGAGATCATGCATCAAAGAGTTGTTTCTACTTCGCAAAGAGTTTCTTCACAAACGAAAATCATCGTTGAAGAGATGCGTAAAAAGAATTTCGATTTACTGAAGAAACCAACAGATGAAGCCAGAGCAAACTTATATAGATATCGATATGATTTCATTGATATTCCTAGTATGTTACCTTTAGTTCTTTCTTCAATTGATTACACAGTAACAACACAAGTGAATGAAATCCCTGCTTTGTTACAAAGATGGCAAAGACCTCCTCCTACAATTGCTTTGAGTCTCTTGGATTCACAGTACGCTGATCATAGAGTTAGAGAATTCGCTGTTCGTTGTTTGGAATCATTAAGTGATGATGAAATCATGTTGTATATGTTACAATTGATACAAGCTTTGAAATACGAAATGTATGATGATTCTCCACTTTGTAGATTCTTGTTTAGAAGAGGTTTGAATGAGCCAAAGTTCTTGGGACATCAATTGTTCTGGCAGTTGATTTCTGAAGCTCATATCTCTCATATTCGCAGAAGATTCTCCAGTTTCGTCGTCAATTTCTTATACGGATCAGGAATTTACAGAGATGAACTGTTGAAAGGTTACAAATTCACTCAAGAATTAGTGAGATTGAACCATTCTTTGTGCAAATTATCTCACGCAGAAGCAACAGAACCTTTCAGAGAAGCACTCAAGAAAATTGACCTTCCAAACGAGTTCCATCTGCCTATGGATCCAAGATTGGTCGTTGATTCATTCATCGTTGAAAAATGTAAAGTTATGAATTCAAAGAAAAAACCGTTTTGGCTTACATTTCATAATGCAGCACCATTTTCAACGGAACCAATTCGTGTTTTGTTCAAAGTCGGTGATGACTTGAGACAAGACCAATTAACTCTACAAATCATGAGAGTTATGGAACATTTATGGAGAAAGGAAGGAATTGATTTACACATGAGATGTTATGCGGTTTTGCCAACAGGTTTCAATCAAGGATTCATCGAAGTTGTTCCAAATACTATCACTGAACAAGCACTACAACAAGAGAGAGGAACATTCAGTGGTATTTGGGATTCTTCAACAATTTCTGATTATCTTTGCAAAGTAAACCAAACGGAACAAAACCAACAAGTCGCAAGAAGCAATTTCATGTATTCTTCTGCCGGTTACGCTGTTGCAACATGCGTTTTAGGTATCGCTGATAGACATCCAGGAAATATTTTGTTACAAAATGATGGCCACTTTTTACATATTGATTTTGGTCACTTTTTGGGCAATTTCAAGACAAAATTAGGATACCAACGAGAAAATGCACCATTCCATTTCTCTCCTGCATGTGCAAATGTTCTTGGTGATGTTGATGGAGAGATGTTCAAGCAATTTAGAGTTCTTTGCGGTCAGGCTTTCAACATTTTGAGGCATAACTCTAAATTACTTGTTACTTTGCTGATGTTGATGTTGGGAACAGGAATCCCTGAATTACAAAAGGCAGAAGATATCAGATACATGACTGACATGTTGATGCTCAACAAAACTGATTCGGAAGCAAAGATTGAGTTCGACAAACTCACAAATAAGTCTCTCGAATCAACAAGGACTAAGCTTAATAACTTATTCCATAATATTGCTGTTTCAGATTAATTATATATTTATAAATTTTCACCAAAATATAAAGCATTTACTTATTTATTTATTTAATCTCATTCTTCGCCTGCAAACATTTCAATTCCCTCAAATTTTGAGAGATTGACGCGTAGAATGATTTTTAGAATTTTTAATTATCTTAAAATATTTACTTTTCAATTCAGTATGGTTTCAATTTTATTATTATCATTGAAGAAATAATAATTATCTAAAATTGTTTTGTTTGGATGATCATTCGAAGTTCCTATAAAATTTAGATATTTCATCTATCATTTTCGTTCGCTCTTTTCAATTTTTATGACAATTTCATTAATATAACGAAGACAATCATATATCTCATATGTACATTTTCGAATCACTCTTTACTAACAAACTTAATTTTCTCATATAAAGGAATAAGTGACTAAATACTAAAAAAAAATCTTTACTTTTTTAGCAAAACATGTTAACATCGGCCAAGATGATGTGTTTCTATTGATGCAAGACTACTTCCAACTATTTTCAAATAATTGTCGTTACCAATATTAGCAGTTCTTCCGTCGGCAAGTTTTACTGTGCCAAAAGATCATATATTGTATTCCGCGCTTTCAAAAAGTTAAATTGGATCTAACCGCATTCAAAAAAAGTTTACACTTATCAAATTCAAATTTCATATTGATATTGTTGTAAACAGAAATTCATCAAAAGTGACACCTCAGAAAAGCTAAAATATTGAATTTTTGGAACTTTTGATAGAGCACGTTTTTAAATATTAATTAAAGTAAATGTATATTTTGTAAAGATTCTTTTTAATAAAAAAATAAAATTTTGAAGAAGAACACAAAATCTTCTGAAAAATAATATCACATAAACTCATATTATTTTCTAATATATAACTATTTTATATAAAAATCAAATTCAATGATCTTAAAAGCGAAGGATAAACCTCAAAATTTACGAATATAATGAGTGGGAATATAATGCTTATCTATCATAAAACCATATGAAATATCAATTTTTGCTTTACGCCTAATTTTTGACGACAATTAGCAAAAAAATGTTAAATGTTAACACTCAGTCCATTTGAATATGAAAAATAAAATTGACTTTGATTAAATGTTTTTATTTATCATGCAATTCTTCTTGCGACCAAAGATTTGAATAAAAGTTCAAAAAATAAGATAGCTTTAAAAATAATATACGGTAGTGTTTACTAATAGATGAATAGTATATAAATTCTATTAAAATGGATTTGATCCAAAAAATATAAAATCAAAAATAATTGTTATAATTTAAATGAAGAAGTAATTTAAAACGATTTTATTTATGATCAAATTTATATATTTTTTTGGATCAAATCCATTTTAATAGAATTTATATACTATTCATCTATTAGTAAACACTACCGTATATTATTTTTTAAGCTATCTTATTTTTGAACTTTTATTCAAATCTTTGGTCGCAAGAAGAATTGCATGATAAATAAAAACATTTAATCAAAGTCAATTTTATTTTTCATATTCAAATGGACTGAGTGTTAACATTTAACATTTTTTGCTAATTGTCGTCAAAAATTAGGCGTAAAGCAAAAATTGATATTTCATATGGTTTTATGATAGATAAGCATTATATTCCCACTCATTATATTCGTAAATTTTGAGGTTTATCCTTCGCTTTTAAGATCATTGAATTTGATTTTTATATAAAATAGTTATATATTAGAAAATAATATGAGTTTATGTGATATTATTTTTCAGAAGATTTCATTCTATATGCCTATGAAAAGTACTCTCAAAACTAACTTTTCCTAATTATAATTAAATCTAGAATATTGTATTATGCTTAGTATTATTTCATTTTTCTCATTCAATTTAGAATTTACAAATGTCAAAAAATTGAGAGCTGTCACTTTTGATGAATTTCTGTTTATTACAATATATCATGTTAGTTGAGTATATATATATATAATGATATCTCTCTCAAATTGTTTCCGATTGTATTGATCAGACTGTCATTTATTACGGATAATTCTTTTAACTACCCTATCCTATGTGTTTTTTATATAATCGGAATTGTCAACTAAAGTAAAAACTGTCATATTATTCTATGCATTATTTGAATTTTCTAAAGACAGAATATTTTAGAAAAAATGGACGAATCGATGCTTTTTAACTATACTTTATTTAATCAATCACTAAAATGCACTTACGTTAATAAAGATTACTGCGACAATCCGTTTATATACTCAGACTTATATATCAGACTTATTATTTTCATCCCATTTATGTTTTTTGTTGCAGATTGCTTTAGAACTCAAAAACTAACATTAAATCCTGACAGTTTATGCGGAGTTAGTATATGTATATCACTGACAGCCTTTAAATTGTCAACGAGTTTCCAAGATAATGTTTTTAATTACAACTATCATGAGGATGATGGATATGATATATATTGGAAGATAAACAAATTACTCCAAATAGCATCTTATATAGCAATGTATGACTATTTTTCACGTTGTTTCAATATTTTTTATTTAATTGGTGTTCGATTCTCAAAAATATTCAAATATTTATACACCGCATTCAAGTATTCGTTTTTGTTGTTAGTCCCAGTGATTTATTTTCCAAATTCCAACAAAATATTTAAAACCATTTATGTACATTATTATGACATTGTCAGCTACATATTTTGTAGCTTTGCCTTTAGTACATATTCTGTTTGCTATTGTTTGCTTCTTCCAAAAGTTCAGGCAGTAATTCCAAAATCAATTGTTAAGCCATTAAAAATAACTGCATTTGTCATTTGTCTTGGCTACATTATTGACATCTTATCATGGATTATTGTTTCTTCTACATGGTATTTATCGAAACCAGGAAAATATTTACACATTCTAACAGAGATTTTACTTTTACTCCCTATTTTCTTAGAAAATCTTCCCTTGTTAGTTATTATTTCCCTGCTTAATCATAAAAGTACATATGAAGAACAAATTTCTGATAGTTCTTCTCAGAGAAGTTGTGATATATCACTTGTTAAAGTTTTGTAGATTTGTATTCAATTTGTTTTGTCTTATTTGCTGAAAAAATGATAGAATTCATTATTCGATTTTTTGAAAATCTCTTAAGTATTAATAGCTAAAATAATGATGACATTAAAAGATTTGTTTTTTAAATCAATATCAAAATATTTAAGAAATCTAATGTTTTATCATTTCAAACAAACAATTTACATAATAAAACATATTTCAAACAATTAATTCAGCTTATATAGTTTAGGAATTATGTGCATTGATCTATAAAAGCCGAATTTTTTCTGGATAATTTCCTAAATTTCGTTAAATTACTTTATATTTTCAATGACCCAAGTTAGGGATGTAGACTATCTTTCGTATATTCCTAACGATCAGTCTTAATATTGTATACATTCCAATGAAAATTTGATTTTGATTTTTTTTCTTAAAATTATCGAAGAAGAACTTTTTCTGACAATTTAGCTTTTGAATCAATAATTTCTAATATAGAGTATCCGTAGCTGTTGTTTTCTGGAGAATATTGTCCAATGCAAGCAATTCGAACATCTCGAGAGAGCAAACTTGTATGAGCATGACCACATATAAGCCAATCTTCCTTTTGAATCTTTTCAACGCCACTTTTGATCCATTCAAAAAATGAAAATGCGTGTTTATCTCTAACTCTGAAGTTATTGCATAAGTCATGAGCAAAGTAAATATTTAATGGATGTGAAATGCCTTCTTGTGGAAGAGATAATCTCATACAAAGATCACGAACTAAAGTAACCCCAGGAATTGATGAATTTTCTTCTACATAGTATCTATCATGGTTACCACCAATAATAAAAACGGAAATTTTCAATTGCTGGAAGCGCTGCATTAATTGAAAAAGAACTCTTGAGCCTTGAACCCAATTTCCGTTGATTAAATCTCCTAAAATGAAAAGATCTGTGGGATTTTCTTTGTTAATTAAACTTTGAAGTTCGGTTAAGAATAATTGAGGATTATTGAAGATATGGCAGTCGGAAATCAATAATATTCGATGGTTTACGGTTAAATCGATGTTTAAATCATATATGGTGACGCTTGTGTTCTCAAGTGGAACCCCAAAAAGGTCCCCGTATGACTGCGTCATTGTCACTTTTGAAAGAGTTCAAATTTAAAATTGCCTATCTTTGATGCATTTCACTGTGCATCAGATAGAAGGAATATGACTTATAAGAACACTTGCAGCATCTTGTCAGCCAAAGTTGTGCATATTAGAATATTTTGATCCAAAGCTTTTTATAAGATGTAGAGGCCTCGGAAGGACTTTGTCTTAAATTACTCTTCCAACTACTTCCTAGTCACCAAGGAGTGAGAGATTTTAATTAATCGAATACGGATTAGTTTGTCTGAAATCTTTTATTTGCTGAGGGGCCTTGGAAGAACTATATTATCATGTATAGTAATTGTGGTCTACTGGCTTTTTTTCAGGTCAGAAAATGTAAATTTACTCTAATAGGGCATAAATCTTCTGATATCTTTCATAAGAAAATTCAGCAGAACTTTGCTCTAAGATAATGTACATGTAATTATAAGCCCAAATGTCTGACACTTGTATAGAGTGGAATATGCGCCGACATATATTATATAATAACATGTAGTTGATAATTATGAAAAAATAGAATTTGATGCGAATGATATTGAAAGTTGTTTTGTAATTTGATATTTTTCTTATATGTGTTAATTAGTAAATGGCTTGTTTGTTGTGATCGTACTGTGAAAAATGAAAGGTATTTTAAATTAAAAAAAATGAGATTTTGAGATATCTCTAGAATTAAGAATTTATTATGTATTTGACTTTTATATAACTATGTGTAAAGGATCTCGATGTCTATATGCTTTAAATAAAATTAAATAAAATGAGATAAAAAATTAAAATGGACAAGAAGATATATGGAAATGTAATTTGTATTGTATTGGTTGTTGGCAAATGATTTTAATACAGATTTAAGGATTTGGAATGGATTTGAAATTAAATGATTTTTATTCAAGGAATAATAAGATTTTGAACTGGTTTTTATTTTGAGAATGTAAACTCCTTCCATAAGATATGTATTAGAAAGATCAATTTTAAACTTTTTGAAAGAATTGTTTTTTTGTTGAGTGATTTTCTCTCATTTGATAATATTTTTAAGTTGGCGTATCTTACGCCCTTCCAAAAATATGTATTAGAAAGATCAATTTTAAACTTTTTGAAAGAATTGTTTTTTTGTTGAGTGATTTTCTCTCATTTGATAATATTTTAAGTTGGCGTATCTTACGCCCTTCCAAAAATATGTATTAGAAAGATCAATTTTAAACTTTTTGAAAGAATTGTTTTTTTGTTGAGCGATTTTCTCATATTTAATAATATATTTAAGTTGGCGTATCTTACGCCCTTCCAAATATTTCTTAAAAATTTAAATTTGTCTCATCTCCTACTCTTAATTTAAAAAAATTTCAAAATCCATAATAGTAAACATTTCTTATTTTTATTTAAATCTGAAAAAAATAAATTTAAACAATTTCTCGACACACGACGGTTTCGGCGGTTTTCAGAATGGTTGACAACTGAATTCATCAGGATAATGTCGGTTGGGGTGCCCTTCTTGGCCTCCTGAGTACTCACCAAGATACCCCCAGCTCCCGCAAAACACCTCCCATAGGTGAGCATTAACTGATGAAGTTATTGACAACTTTATCTGATTTTTTTCTTTGTTTTTTTGTTAAGATTTCTTAACCAAAGACTCGAAAACAAAACTTCGCTTCAAGTTGCTGTCTTCCCAGTTACTCTGTCGCAATCTTTTGTCTGATTGCGTGCAAAGTTCTGCTCCATGAATTATCAAATATGTGCCATTTCAGGAGAGATAACAAGCTCATACCTCCTGGAATGGCGGATTGTTCAACAATCTTCTTCTGATTGCAGAACTTTCAACCGACAAGAGGTGCATATGCACATCTTTTAGGTTGCAATCTGTGATCCCAGGAGACATAACAAGCTCATGCCTCCTGGAATGGCGGATTGTTCAACAATCTTCTTCTGATTGCAGAACTTTCAAACGACCTCACGAAGAAATTCTAATCGATATCCTTTTCTATTGACTTATATTTGTGAATCATGACGTTAAAATCTTACGTTAAAATTCTGTACTTTATAAATCAGTTCAGTTCTGCTTAAAGCATATTAATAAAGTTGTTCTTCAGATTAATGTTAGTAAGCCGGCGCTAGCAAATAATCTTTGCATCTTTATTATGCTTATTAGTATGAAAGATTTAACATATAATTCGCCAAAGTTTAAAGCCTTATGACGAAACTTACCAAAAACATCTTCTTCCAGCAAGATCCGCCTATACTCCCACATTTGTCTCTACAGCTCTCACTTTGTCAGATTGTCAAAAGAATAAAAAAAAATTATATCATACCGAAATGCATCACTAGCAAAAGTGACATTTGGCGCCAATTTTAAATTAGTGGATTTTGTGTTTATTATTTAAAAAATATAATTGATAAAATATAATTAACATTAATAGAATAATATGGATAAGATTTGATAAAAAACAATCATAATTTTTTTTTGGGCGCCATATAGAGAACTATAGTCTGCGAGGTACTGATTCTATCCATGTACCTCGCAGACCATAGTTCTCAGCCAAAATGGCTGAAAATTGCTCACAATTGTTGAAATTGTGAGCAATTTTTAGCCGTTTTGGCTAAGAATTGGAGGGTGTGAGTACTATAGCATGTAATAGTATCTCACACCCTCCAATTCTTCCTATGGCGCCGAAAAATTTTTGGTGAAATGCGACGACATTTCACCAAAAATTTTCGGCGCCATATAGAGAACTATAGTCTGCGAGGTACTGATTCTATCCATGTACCTCGCAGACCATAGTTCTCAGCCAAAATGCCTCTAAAATTTGTATACCTATAAACTCAAACTTCAATATATTCAATTTTATTTTTATAATTAATTTAAATATATCCATATAATTCTAATGTTTTCTTTTAATTTAAAGAGTAGGTGCCAAAAGTGCTTACTCTTAAACAACCGTCGGATTTCCGGGTGAAATCGTGACACACTTTCAGGTCAGGTATGAGGGGCTTCCAGGGGCTGCGCCCCTTCTAGCCCTAAGAATTTTGCCCAAGACCCAAGAGGAGGACCGAACCCCAGCCGACCAGCCGGTGACAAAACCAAAACCGTTGTTATTTACATCATATTAATGATGTCACTTTTTAAATGTCACTTTTTATGTCGCTTTTCACAAATTATATATGTTTTCATGTTTTGTCACTTTTCTGTCACTTTTCAGGTAAAAACATTTTTATTATTATATATAAATGAATTTTACAAAACCACCGTTACCGTTCTTTGGAAATAAGAGTAGATGTAAAGATATTATATTGAGAGAACTTAAGAAACTACCGAATGGTCTAACATTTGTAGATTTGTTCGGTGGAAGTTTCTATATATCCCATTTATGTCATACAATATTCCCAGACTCAAAGATTATATGCAATGACTTCGACAACTATATGAACCGTCTCAAACATATTCCAGACACAAACAATATATTGAAAGAGTTAAAAGAAAAGATACCTATAGGTAAGATGGAACGTATACCATTAGATAAGAAAAATATTGTGAGAGAGGTTTTGAAAAAAGCAGAATATATAGACTGGGATAGTATATCTGCTAGACTATTATATAGTGGTGCTATAAGAGTTCATGACATTGAAACACTCATGTCAAAAGTTTTATATCTTAACTATACAAATGTTTTCAAAGAGAACATAGAAAAATATATTGAGGGTATAGAGTTTGTGAGATGTCATTGGACAGAGTTGTATGAAAAATATAAAGACAAGGAAAATGTTTTCTTTATAGTGGACCCGCCGTTCTATAACACATGGGATTTTCAATACCAAGTAGACTGGACTTTGAGAGACTCTTTAGAAACTTTAGACGTTATACATAACCATCCATGCTTTTACTTTACATCCGATAAAAGTGGTTTGGAAACCGTTATGAGATGGTTAGAGGACATACATGACTATGAGTTTAGATATGACAAGATAGAATATGAGAGAGGTCCTATAAACTGGAGAAAGTGTCATAACAAAGAAATTTTATTAGTAAGTAAATGTGGTTTGAAATCGGATTGTTAGTTTTAGGTTTTTTCCATTGTGTCATTTATTTATTTGACGTGGCAGAAAAGTACAGAGAATATGAAGATGAACCAATGCCTGCAAATGTTCAGTATATGTACTCGTAAGAGATATTTTTATCTAATATTAAATGGACGCACAGAACTTAGCGAATGCGCAGCAACCTGGACAACCAAACCCAGAGAATATTCCAAATGAAGTTAGAATACAAACTGCAATGGCAAACTATGGTCAAGTGCCAACAGATGTACAAATGCAAACTGCCATGTCAAATGACGCTGCGTTAGGTTTGCCACCATGGTATGCAAATATGAGATGGAAAGAGTTTTATACAAACCCTGAAGTGGGATATAAACAACTTTATGCAGATGACGCGAACACAGGAGTTGACCCAGAATATGTTTTCTACCAGAGGAGAAACAGAATGTATGAGCTCCAGTTAAAGAATGCTATGGAACTCAACAGGAAACGTAAGAGACTAGGCGGACATTAGATTTTTACATATAGTAAAATGGGTTTCTTCAGTAAGATAGGAAACTTCTTTCGAAATGTTGGAAGAGGTATATGGAATGGAATAAAATCTGTCGGAAGAGGAATTTGGAACGGAGTCAAAAATATTGGTAAAAGAGTAGGTCAGTTTGTTGGTATTATACCTAAAGACCCTGAACCAGAAGAACAAGCTCCTGTTATACAACAGCCTGAACCTGCACCACAGTCTAGTTGGCAACCAAATCCAACACCTCAACCGTATTAAAAAATTATATTTTTACCGTTCGATAGTAGTTGTATATGAAACTAAGTTCTAAGTAAAACGCATGGTATAATGGAATTATTCTTTTTCTTCCATCTGTAGTAAACCATACTTGAAAGTCTGAAATACTTCCACTTGGTGGTTCGTATAACTTTGTAGGTTTTTCGTAAAAGTCATTTGCCAAGCATAAGAAAGAGTTTTGGGCGCCAGAAAATGAAGCATGAACAATAATAGCATCTTGGTCGAAAATATTTTCATATGTTCCATTAGGGTTTTCGACTTCATAAAAGTCTGGGTGTACTGGATATGCTGCAGGCTGATTTAACATCCTCATAAATCTATACCATGCCAAGTTGTTATATTTTGTAGAAATATAAACGTTTTCTCCAAGGTCTTCTATTTTATTGATTTTAACAGTTGCATTTTTCCTGTCATAAATAATATCGAGATGGTATTCTCCTTCGTCAATGTTATACTGGTTTGCATATTCGATATAGATATCGTTTATTTTTTCTTGAAAAGCTTGAAGAGTTGTTTCTAAGTTTACAAGCAAACTAACTTGTAAAAGTTTTCCCTGTTCAAATTTCTCATACGTATGTTTTTCTTTGTTATAGTATCGAACTTCAAAACCGACCGTAAATGGGAAACCATGTATGGCTTCTGAAATGAACTTCATTCTACGAAAGCCAATAGCTTTTGTGACGGATGGGTCTCTTAGCCATCTTAATGGGTAGTCAAAACGATAGCCTTCATGCTTTACGGTCTCTGTCTCAAACTTTTGACCGACATTAGTAAAAAGTTCATCTAATGGTTTAGTTGTAGCAACTCTTGAATTTTCTTTTTCTATTGAAAGCATATTTTATCTAGAATAAAAATGTCGAAAGATATTGCTTCCATAAGAGAAATACAACACAACCGACAACTCATTATGCAAGCTCTAAATAAGAACACAACAAACTTTTCAAACTATTCTAAGATATCTGAGTCATTGAAAGAAGGAAACTTAAAACTGACATTAAACCCAATGACAGATGAGTTTCTATTTCAAGACAAGAAGAACAATACTGTCTGTATAAATCCAACAAAAGGAACTTTAAACGAGAAACCTATAAATGAACTTCTTTTGAAAGCAGATGTTGACAACAAAGCTGACAAAGAATATGTCATTGAAAAAGTTCAAGAAGAACATGACAGAGCAGATGCAACATATGCAACAAAAGAGGATGTTGAAAAGAAAGCTGACAAAGAAACTGTAGATATGTTGGCACAAACGGTTTCAAGTCATACCAGAGGTTTAATGGAAGATAGTGTCCATTTGCAAAGACTTGACATAGATGTTTCAAATAAAGCCGACAAAAATCATACACATAACATCTCTGACGTAAATGAACTTCAAGAAAAGTTAGATGACAAACCTGACAAAGAAACTGTAGATATGTTGGCACAAACGGTTTCAAGTCATACCAGAGGTTTAATGGAAGATGGACAACAGTTGAAAGAGCTTGAGAAAGGTGTTACAGAGTTAAGGAATACAAAAGCAGACTCGAAATGGATATCTGGATATGTAGATGCAACAAAAGAATATATTTTCGCATGGACAGAAGGAACATACCCACAAAAATATCATACACATAACATTTCTGACGTAAATGAACTTCAAGAAAAGTTATATGACATTATGCATCTAAGACAGGAACTCAATGTGCTTAAACAAAATTTGCCGAATCTTATTTACCCGGTTGGCTCATTATATGTTTCAATGAACTCTACCAGACCAGAAGTAGTACTTGGTTTTGGAACTTGGACTCAAATAGTCGACAGGTTTTTGTATTGTGCAAACTCTTCAAAGGAAACAGGTGGAAGTAAAACGATTTCGGGTGAAAATCTACCTGCACATAGTCACTACATAGATTTAAGTACATCTCAAGCAGGTTGGCATAAGCATAGATATTGGGATTGGTCAGGAATGATAAAAGGTAAAGGATATGATGTTAAAGACAACGTTAAGTTTGCTATAGATTGTTACTGGAGTAACACTGAGGCAGGAGGAAACCATACACATCGCGTTACAGGATATACGCAAACAACGGGACAAAGTAAAGAATACATGCCACCTTACATGACAGTTTACGCATGGTATAGAAATGCTTAGTCGTCATTTTCAACTTCTTTAGCATATTCGTCAGGAGTTGTCTTATATTTGTTAGGAACTGTCTTTGAAAGTATACCACCTTGAACTTTGACAAGTTTGAAACGAGGTCTGGCAATAGTAGTTTTATCTTCTGCTTGCAGTGTGTACATTTTGCCATGTTTGCCTAAAACTTCATAATATTCTCTTGTATACTTTCTTCTATTTTTACGAACACGAATGTGAGTACCTGTCGAGTTCCCATTGTTGTCATAGTCAATAGTATTTTCATATGGGTCGCGTTTAGGTATTTCTATTTTTACTTTGTCACCTTTCTGAAGTTTGAAGCCCGGCATTCTTTCTTGTTTGTCTCTTTTGACTAAATTATTAAATATATAGTCTTTCTCTAAGTCAGGGTTGTTTTTCATTTCTTCGGGGGAGTGGTTTCCCAAACCTTTTTGTTTACGGTTATTGTAAATATTTAAAACTTGTCTCATCTTTGCCATGGAGAAGTGTCTATACTTGTCGTCATATGACATTTCATTTGCTTCACCACCTTGTGGTTGGTTTAAGTCTCTTAACATTTTTATACAACCGTCAATGACACCAAGAGCAGAATGGTTTTGGTCGACAATGAAATATTGGTTTACATTTTTTGAACGCAGATAGTTTTTTACATCATCTGATTTGAAAGAACTTTCACAGTCAGATGTCAGTTTTGTTGGATGGTATTTGTCAACGAATATTGTCAAAGCAGTTTTCACATCTAAAATATTTTTGGACCATAATGGTATGGCTTCACAGTATCTTGTGTTTTGACCAACAAATATTAACCAGTATGGAGGTCCATCTTCTCTATACCTCGGAATGTTTTCCAAGATATCCATAAACCAAGCATTTGGTGTTGAACTAAAGATTTTTACCATGAGTGCTTTCTTTGTCGCTTTAGAAACATAGGGGTCCTTGTTTGGATTCGTCATTTTTTATCCTATAAGAAATGGGTTTATTTGGCGCATTAGCAGGAGTTGCATCCAGATTTTTGCCCGCAGTGGGAACAATAGCTAGAGGTGCATTTGGAATTGGAAGGAAGATTTTGAGTACATTAGGTATACTTAAAGAGAAAGCACAACCTATTATACAAACTGTACAGAAAGGTTGGGATGTAGCACGAGATGCAACAAATCTTATTCCAAATCCTGAAACAAGAGGAAAAGTTCAAGGATGGATGGACAATGTAGGAAGACAAGCAGGAAACTATTATAACAAAGCAAATGACTACTATAACCAAGCAGGACACTATATGGACCAAGGTGAAAGATTCTTTAACAGAGGATATAACCATGCACAACAATGGGTAAACAATAACCAACCGCAACCACCTCAAACGTGGGGAATGTAAAATTTTTTACTGAGATGAAATGAACAATACAGCATTGAGACAAATGGGTTCAAGATGGATTTGTCGACTTCCAGCAGTTACACCACGTGTTTGTCAAGTTCTTCCTATACCTCAGGAAGTTTTAGACCGACTTAAAAACCTAAACAACCAGTTGAAAACAAACCAAACTAAAATTTTTTACTGAGATGAAATGACCGAAGAAGTTGAAACGGTAGATTTGACACCACAAACAAAAAGTTCAGAACCATTGTCAAAACCTGTCAAAGAACTTACAGATGAAGAGAAAAATTCAATAATAGAAAGTGCCAGGTCTGGAAATACAAACCCTAACTATAAAGTCACTTTTCATAAAAATGGAACGGCTAGTATCTCAAAAAAGAAACAGACTCTCACAAATAAAATATTGAAGTCTGAAGGAGCTTTCGAGACAACAGATGGAAAAGTTTACTTCACTGACCAACAGTTCATTATAGAACATCTCATTGACTTAGAGTCGAAATATTCTAAACTTTACAACAAACACAAAAAGTTGAAAGGAAAACAAAAACAAATGGCATATGATATTTATGAAGATGTTTGACGACACAACTGTTCCTGCAGGTGAGGTAAAGTCAGAGGAACCGAAAAGTGACGAAAAACCGATAGAAGAAGAGAAACCAAAAACTGAAGATAAACCAAAACCAAAGTTTAGTTTCCAAACTAAACCAAGTCAACCTTCATTAGCTGGTATGGGTTGGCGTCAAAGACTTATGGCAGCAGGCGGTTATGTAAAGTAAAGAAAAAAAATATTTTTTTATTTTTATAAAAATGCCCCCATATAGAATGGATAGAAAGTCTGCTAGAATAAAAGCAGAGTTGCAAAGATATGGTTGGAGAGTTTCGAAGAATTTTAAATATAGGAAGGGAAGACCCATAAAAGTCTATGACAAATTGTCTGGTCTTCGCTACGAAATGGATTTGGAAACAGCACGTGCCAATTATCCAAACAGACTAGAGAGGTTAGAAGAAGAACGTCTTATGGACATGCCTTTCGATGTTAGTGAACCTCAAGTTGAAGGACACGACGGCTTTGCCAGATTCTACTGGAAACATGACGAACAATTGCATCCTTTGAGAAGGAAAAAAGGTAGTGCAGAGGATGGTCATGCTCCCATGGAAAGAACAAGATATGCATATGAAAAGTATCGTGAAGTTAGAAGTCAAATTACATCTGGTCGAACCTTTACAGTAAACTTTGACGAAGGAAAGAACAAAGAAGGCTTCATGGGTGTACTTGCTGCCATACAAGACGGAAATAAGAAAGGACACAATCTCAGATTGACCATAACAGATTTGGATGGTCACATTTACTATGCACATGGCAATGAACAAACAGCCGCAAAACTTCTTGACGCTTTCAAGACTACAAAGAGAGAACAAATGGTTGACTCCGACTCAGACATTTTGAATGCAATTGAAGGAATTGCAAGTGTCAAGTTCGAATGGTACCAACCTAACCCTCAAGCAGTCAGACAACATGCTGGATACTTCCCGTTCATAAATAAGTCTGACATTGACTTGACAAGGTATGGAATTTACAATTCAATTGAAACAATTGTCAATGAACCTTGTATTCTTACATGTCTCAGGAACTCTGGTCTTGTTACAGATGAGAAGATGAAGTATCTTGAGTCATGTGTGAAGACAAGGTACATTCTCAGAGGTCAATTGGCAAAAATTGCACGTTGGCAAATGTCAATATCCGAGTCAACATACCTACAGCTAAAGGTTCTTCACATGACGACTATGTTGTTGAGTTCAATTTACCATGGTTGAAGATTGTAATTGTCCACAACCACTTCATGTTGAACGAAAGTCTTACAAACCCATTGTTCGGAAAAGGCAAGTGCAACATTGTCAGAGCTGTAAACATTCTTTTCGAGAAAGGTTTGTTGGAACCAATTCCAGATGACAAGCTGACAGAAACTTTTGTACCAAAAGACGAAACAAACTTTTCATTGTTAGCAAGACCAAAAGTTGTTCCAGACAAAATTCTAGTACAAAAGAAGTACACAGTTCCACAAGGGGTTGGTATGTTCGGATACCAACCTGAACCAGAAGAACTTCCAATGAGGTTGCAAGAACTTCAAGATGCTATATAAATAAACTTCCATTGAGACATCCAATTGACGTCAAATTGTATTGGAGAGCATCTGAGTTAGGTCAGAAGGTTTTATATGAAACAGGTTGCTTCGACGATGTTTATGAGATAACAGGAGAAGTTTCTCAGAAGATAAGAGACTCACTTGAATTTCCACAAACTGGACCAATTGGTTGCGACAAGTTCGACTCAAACGAAAAGATATACTATGTCGACCTTAACGCTGCATACATGAGGTTTGTCCAATATATTCCGACTGGAATTCCAAACGAAGATGGTGAGTTCCCGGAAGGAACTATACAGTTGGAAAAGTCATACAACAACTGTATGATATTAGGAAAGCTTCAAACCCCAAACTTGCAATGACACTCAAATTGCTTATGAATTCGACATGGGGATATTCCATTAAGAAACCTCAAGAGATGAAGAGTAAACATTATGAGAAGGTCGACAACTTTGTTGAAAGGTTTCTCCTTTTGTTTTGAAGTACGAATTCACTCAAGGTCAAAGTGGCTTAGTAACCACATTAAAACCTATTGTCGAACATTGGTCTTACCCTCAGTTCGCAAAGGCAGTACTTGACAACTACAACAAATTCTTCTCCGAAGTCAAATCGAAAGTCAAGGTTTACTATGAGAACATTGACGCACTCATGACGAACGAAGAAGGCTATAACAAACTCATTGAAATGGGTATGGTCGGTGAAAAGATGGGTCGATTCAAATTGGACAAAATTTTCACCGAAGTTCATGTCCTCTCCAAGCGTAAGTATTGGGCATACTTGAAGACGGCACAGAAATAAAACATTGCATGAAATAAAAAATTTTTATATTCCTTCCTAGCTAATTTCCGTTTAATTTCATGGTCGCCCTCGGAGTCTTTGAATCGGACAGGTCGAGTTACACCATTCTTGGTCTCAAACTCATATATAACCTGTTTGTCTGTATTTTCGTCGACTATGGCACGAGACACGAACATTGACCAAACGGACAAAAAGTGTCATTTCGGATGGTCAAGCAGCCAATCGCATTCGAGCACTTCGAAGAAGCCTTACGTTCCAAGGGAGAGGGTGTCTGGTGCAAGGCAGAGGTCATGAAACTCTACGAGCAGTACATCCTCAATGCCTGGGAGGACAAATCGTCCTTGGATTGGCAATTCTACCAACTTCTCTGGGACGACCTCCTACGCAACTGGGATAACGAAAGAGTCCAATTCAAAAGTCGGGAACTAATTTTGCAAATTGCCCTTAATTTAACATACTTATCCAAATAAACACCTAAATTTACTTGGGGTTTCCCCCTAAAATAAAATTTTTTTACTCTTAGAACCACTCGAGGTTCTCCTTACGGTTGTTGAGCTTGTCACCGTCAATGTGTCTGACCTTCGTCTTCTTGTCTGGATTTGGAACCCATTGAATTGCGACAAGCTTGCCCATGGAAATTGAACCGCGATTCCGAAGGTTAAGGTTCAAGTGTCCCAAGTTGT